TTAATTATGATGTGTCTTGGTGTAGGCCTCTTTGGATTCCTCTTGTTTGGGACTCTGTGCTTCCTGGACTTGTAAGTCTATTTCTTTCACCAGGTAGGGGAAGTTTTCTGTCATTATTTCTTCAAATAGGTTTTCAGTATCTTGTTCTCTTTCTTCTCCTTCTGGCACACTCATAATGTGAGTGTTGGTACACTTGAAGTTGTCCTAGAGCAGCGGTTCTCAACCTGTGGGTCGCGACTCTTTTGGGGGTCGAACGACCCTTTCACAGGGGTCACCTAAGACCATCGGAAAACACATATATAATTACATATTGTTTTTGTGATTAATCACTATGTTTTAATTATGTTCAATTTGTAACAATAAAATTGGGGTCACCACACCATGAGGAGGTGTATTAAAGGGTCGCGGCATTAGGAAGGTTGAGAACCACTGTCCTAGAGGCTCCTTACACTATATTCATATTTTTTAATTCTTTTTTCTTTTTGCTCTTCTGATTGAGTGTTTTTTGCTTCCTCATATTCCAAATTTTTTATTTGATTCTCGGAATCCTCTACTCTATTGTTGAATCCCTGTATATTATTCTTTATTTCAGTAGTATATGCTTAATTTCTAACTGGTCCTTTTCCATTTTTTTTGGCATTCTCACTAAGATCCTTGAAAGTCTCATTAAGTCGCTTGGAGTCTCAAGAAGATTCCTTTTAAAAAATATATATATTTTATTGATTTTTTACAGAGAGGAAGGGAGAGGGATAGAGAGTTAGAAACATCGATGAGAGAGAAACACCAATCAGCTGCCTCCTGCACACCCCCTACTGGGGATGTGCCCACAACCAAGGTACATGCCCTTGACCGGAATCGAACCTGGGACCCTTCAGTCCGCAGGCTGACGCTCTATTCACTGAGCCAAACTGGTTAGGCTCAAGAAGATTCTTGAGTAACTTTAAAGCTGTGGTTTTGAAGTCTATATCCAGTAGTTTACTTTCTTCCATTTCTTTCATTTGTAACATGTTTCTTTGTCTTTGCCTTTTGGCTGCTTCCCTGTGTTTGTTTCTATGTATTGGGTAGAGCTGCTATGTCTCCTGGAGTCGGTAGTGGGGCCTTGTATAGTAGGTGTCCTGTAGGGCCCAGTGGCTTAGCCTCCCCAGTCACCTGAGCTGGGCACTCTAGGTGCATCCCTGTGTGGGCTGTATGCACTGTCCTGTAGTTGAGACTTGATTGCTGTTGGGACCAATTGGCTGTGAGGACCATTTGTAGCTACAGGACCCCTTATTAGTTTCCTGTGGCTTATGTAACAAATACCACAAACACAGTGGCTTTAAGCAATACAACTTATTCCCAGGGCTCCGGAGATCAGAAGTCTGAGGCGGTCTCGCTGGTCTGGAGTGAGGTGTGGCAGGCTCTGTCCTCTGGAGACTCGGGAAGAAGCTGTTTCCTGGCCTCACCAGCTTCAAGAGGCTTCCTGCACTCCTGGGTTCTTGGGCCCTTCCTCACCTTCAAAGCCAGCATCATAGCATCATCAGATGGCCATCTGGTTCTGACTGTTCTGCATCCCTCTTGCAAGGACCTTTGGAATTACGTTCGTCCACCCAGCACCCAGATAAGCCAGGGTCATCTTCCCTCTCAAGATCCATACTGCAATCACCCCTGTGAAGCCCCTCTGCCAGGTAAAGTAGCATATTTACAGGTTCTGGGATTGGGATGCAGGCATCTTAGGGGGGCATTATTCTTCCTACTACAGGTCCTTTATAAGCACCCCTCATGGCCTCCAGCTCCTTAAAGAGGTTGAGCTGAAGGGTCTGAGAGCAACCCCAGCAGACACCCAGCAAGGATAAGGGACCTCAATTCTACAACCATAAGGAAATGACTTCTTCCCAAACCATGCAAGCTTATATCCTCCTTTAATAACTAGCATCTGACCTGGTATTGGATCCTCTGTGCACTTTATGAATTGGGGGTGTCTGCACCCCTCACTGTAGGGTTGCCCATGCTTAGGGAGCACCACTCTCCTCACCAAGCGGAAGTGCTCTAAATGGACTTGGGCTCAATGAGGCCCTCAAGACACAAGTAGGAGACATGAGTAGGTAGCTCAAGCTCCATGGCATCCAGACACATTTTGACCGCTCCTCCTCACTCACAGTGACCTGGAGAGTTCCCTAGGTCCAGGAGATGAGCAAGGAAAGGCTGGTTTCCTCTGGTGTCAGAGGTTCTGTGTGATGTAACAGTGCTGCCAGAAAGTGGGCACTGCCACATCTAGGCTCTCCATGCCTCCCTGAGCACTCTCCATGCCGCCCCGGGGGGCCGTGGAGCAGAGCCTTGAACATGCATCTGCTTGTTCACTTTGCCTGAGCAAAAGGATGGCCAGAGTTACTTTACCCGGATCCAGATGCAATGGCCAGCATTTGGCTGGGTAACTTGGGATATGGAAAGGCTATGGTTGGTGAATTGATGACAAGGAAGACTGTGCATGAGCCTTTAGGGAAGGACACATATGTTGAGCATATTTGTGTCCCATGTGAATTTGCTGCTTTCAAATTCAGGTGGACCAGATGGCCATTCTGTGGATGCTGGCCAACCCTTCTCTCCAGCTGCTCCAGTGCTTGCTCTGAGGGCTCATGCATAAGCAGACATAGTGGCAGAGATGGAGGTTCATGGGCTCAATAGGGTGCCTTCTCCTCCTCAAGACTGATCCAGAAAGGTAGCCCCGTTGCTGAGTGCCTAAGCTGCCAACAGCAGAGATCAATGTCGACCTCACCATGTGATATCACTGTCCAGAGAAACCAGCCTGGAGGGAGCAGTGATCTGTCTTCATTGGAATAGATATTTGCCATCCCTGCACACAATGCTTCCACCAGCATCACAGTTACCGGCCTTACCAAATGCTTCATATATATCACTAGAGGCCTGGTGCACAAAATTCATGCATGGGTGGGGGGTCCCCTCAGCCCAGCCTGCACCCTCTCCAATCCAGGACATCCCTCTCACAATTCGGGACTGCTGGCTCCTAAATGCTCACTTGCCTGCCTGCCTGATCACCCCTAACTTCCCCTCCTGCCAGCCTAATCAACCTTAACTGCCTCCTCCTGCCGCCCTGATTGCCCCTAACTGCCCCCCATGCCGATCTGGTCACCCCCAATTGCCCCCACCCTGCCAGCCTGGTTGCTCCACACAGCTTGCTGTTCAGTCGTTTGGTCATTCCTCACTAACCCTCCTGCCAGCCTTGTCACCTCATGCAGCCTGCTGTTCAGTGGTTACTGTTACTGTGATAGTGTCTTGGACAATTTGCATATTCCTCTATTATTAATATAGATGGTGTCCTCAACCACATTCTCTAACTCAGGAAATCATAATATTGTCAGAAAAAGACAGGCATAGAGGACTCCTTTTACGTTTTTAATTGAGGTATAACTTACATACGATAAAGTGCACAAGTCTTATGTACACATTTCAATGACATTTTAGATATGTATACACCCATGTAATCATTTAGACAAAATATAGATGTTATCATCTCCCCTCCACAAAGTTTTCTCTCTGACAGCTACAATCTTGACCTTTATCACAGTAAATTAATTTCACATGTTCTTGAACTACATGTAAATAGAAGTATATAAAATGCACTCTTTGTGCTTTTTGACTTATTTTCCTCAACATTATGTCTATGAGATTCATTAGTGCTATTGTGTGATTCAGTAGTTCATCTTCTTTCACTACAGGATGAATTCCGTTGCACGAATACGTCACAGTTTATATACCCATCGGGTGAATGGATGTGGAGGAGTGTCCAGCTTGGCTCTATTATAAATAAAGCTGATGTGAGACACGTCTTTTGGTGGACGTTCCTATGTGAAAGATGCAGAGACTCACCTGAGAGACAGAGCCTTCATTTCTGCTGGACATATGTACTCAGGAGTGGAATTGCTGGGTCATAGTATGCATGTATGTTTAATTTTAGTGTTGGCAAACATTTTCCCAAAATAATTGTATCAGTTTACACTGTCACTAACTATGTATGAGGATTCCAGTTCTTCAATATCCTTGTCAATACTTGGTATTGGCAGTCATTTAAATTCTAGTTGTTTGGTGTATAGTAGTGGTGTCTCATTGTGGTTTTAATTCCCATTCCTCTGATAAACAATGATACTCAGCACCTTTTCAAGTGTTCATGGACCATTTTCTATCCTCTTTTAACTATTTATCTAATCTTCTGCCCAGTTTAAAATTACACTGTCTTTTTCTTGTTGACGTGTAGTCCTTTCTGCATTCCGGCTGAGTCCTTCGTCAGGCGTGTGCACTGCAGTAGCTGAGCCCCTCTGCTTTCCTTCTCTTACAGGTGTATTCTGACACTGAACCTTAATGAGGTCCAAATCATCAAACTTTTCTTTTACAGTGAGCTGGTGCTTTTTGTGTCAAGTTTAAATATCTTGGCCTACCCCAAGGTTCTCCTCACAGGATTTTTTAAAATTAAAAGATGATGTATTAAAGACACTTGGTACATAGTAAGCACTCAAAAACTCACAGAGAAAACCGAAAGAACAACTAGAAAACCAAGTAAGCATGCGGTCCTGATAATACATTTATTATGTGATTTTGTGTCTTAGAGATATGGCTTAGATATGTATACACCCGTGTATAGGACCCCGAGGAGACACAGAAATGAGAAACACTGACGAGGGCTGGAGGGCGAGAGATGGGAGAGATGCTGAGGGTGGTCACCGGGACGCCCTCCCGCAGAGTCTGAGACTCAGGTGGAACTCAAGCAAGCTCAGACTTGAACTCATCTCCAAGCGTAGGGCTGTGCGTCTCCTCCAAACCCAGTGTCTGCTTTTCCCAGTGTCAGCCAAGGTCTCTGAGCCTCTGCTGGTTCTTTTCTTGCCTTGACCTTACTCCCTGAGAGTCTTTTTATACCCCATTTAATCAGTCCATGATCATTCTTTTCTTCTCCTCCACGACCTCCTTTCACCCTACACTGTCTTTCTCCAGAGCGTGTTCCAGGACCTGGTCTAGGGCCACAGCCATCTTGTCCTGCCATGGCTCCCCCCAGGGCCCGCTCCATGGCTTCCTCGGTGGCCTCGTCTGGGATCCATTTCATGGCTATTGTAAGGGTGTCCCCCATGTCCATGACGCCATCCATGATTCATGTCATAAGGACCGCCGTGGCTGTGGCTCAGATCGTGGCCCACTCCGTGTCCAAAGCCATGTGCTCCTCCATGGGCCAGCTCATCTCCCAAGCTGTGGAGCATCCCAGGGCCCAGCCCTGTGTCCAGGTCCAGACCAAGGCCGATGCTGGGGCCCTGAAGGTAATATGTGCCACTATTTACCAAGGGGGAGGGAAAGTATCCCTAAAAGAGAAAAAATAATATAAAATTAAGTTCTCTCTCCCTTACTGTACATCTCCTCTTCACTGTCAGATTTTCACTCTTCTCCTCTTTACCACCACCTTCTTGTGTCCCCGAGTCTCTCTCCTCGTGGTCTCACTGCTTCTCTACCTGAGGAAACACCTTCCTTACTAGCATGTCTTCTGCAGCGAGGTGAGGCTCTCAAAGGCAAATCCACATGCCTATGAGAAAGGTGGACTCCCTGAGAGACAGAACCTTTCACCGTGTCGGTCAGCAAGGAGGCTGGGGAAGGGGAAGGGGAGTGAGAGCCCCAGAAAGCCCTGAGATGACAAGCGTGAAGTCCAGAGTAAACCTCCCTGGGCTGCAGTCCAGCCCTGCCACTTACAGCATGTGCTGGGCCACGGAGCTCCAGGCCCCTCACCTAGAAGGTGCCCCCCCCTCCCCGAGGATTATTCAGCGAATTACAGGACGTGAGGCACTGCAAGCACGCAGCCTGGCCTGGCGCCTAGCAACAACTCGTGCCCATTCTCACTGCCTTGTGACCTTGCACATAAAGCTGACAGGAATTTAGAAAGCGCTCCTGCCTGAGGGTCTTTATTCTGTGGCCTATCTAAGGAGGTGGGCTGAGAACCTGGAAAAAAAGAATCCAGGTGAACCGGCTATGCCGTGTCAAGCCACTGGGACTGCAGTGCGCGCCCCATTTCTTTGCCCCATTTTGCTAGTGGTACTCTGGTCACTGCGCAGCAGCCAGCTCGCAGACAGGGAAACCGTGGTGTGTGCTTTTGTCCATTTCAATGGTGTAAATACAACCACCACAGCATACTTTAGCCTATGAATGTGACATCAGTAGTTCCAGAGGTGGAAAGAGATGTACAGTCTTCTTGTGAGGCTGTGAGGCCAGCTCCAGACCCCACCCATTCACACTCTCCATCCTTCCTCAGTGTGAGGCTGTGAGGCCAGCTCCAGACCCCACCCATTCACACACTCCATCGTTCCTCAATGTGAGGCTGTGTGACCAGCCAGACCCCACCCATTCACACACTCCATCGTTCCTCAATGTGAGGCTGTGTGACCAGCCAGACCCCACCCATTCACACTCTCCATCCTTCCTCAGTGTGAGGTGCAGACCCAGCTCCAGACCCACCCATTCACACTCTCCATCGTTCCTCAGTGTGAGGTGGAGACCCAGCTCCAGACTCCACCCATTCACACTCTCCATCCTTCCTCAATGTGAGGCTGTGTGACCAGCCAGACCCCACCCATTCACACTCTCCATCGTTCCTCAGTGTGAGGCTGTGAGGCCAGCTCCAGACCCCACCCATTCACACTCTCCATCGTTCCTCAGTGTGAGGTGGAGACCCAGCTCCAGACCCACCCAGTCACACTCTCCATTGTTTCTTAATGTGAACTTTCTGCCAGGAACTGTCAGAAAACGTGAAAATGCAAATACATTTTAACGTCAGGATAAGGAAAACGTGTTCAGAGAAAGATCAAGACCAGCGAGTGGAGATGCAGTGGACGTGAGAGAGGAGCCCCCCGGGCCGGACCCGGAGGCAGAGGCCCCGAGCGGCAGAGGCCTGATGCAGGCGCCGTGAACTGCGAGCCCCGTTTTGTGCTCTTTCTCTCCCCTTTGAGGTTTGGTGAAGTGTTTTGACGATTCTAGTTTGTCAGCTGAGCTGAGGAGCACCAAGGGCAGAGACTTCATCTCCGCCGGTCAGAGGGTCAGGGAGGGGTGCCCGGTGCCCCGGGCGCCCGCACAAAG